AGTGAAACTAAACCATTCTATTAAAGATGTGTAGTTAGATGTGTAGAGTAAAAGAAATCTGTACATTATATTGAATGGACATTGCAAGATGTGACGAATCGTCACATTTTTCTGGCCTGTGATAGAGGTACTATGCTGGCTTGCCGCATGGAACTCTGGGTAGGAGAGTGCTATATAGTTTCATTCGGGTCTGACCTTCTCATTACATAACATACATAACATACTTACTACATCGTTTCGACTTATTGCATTCGTTGTCGTGGACTAGCTTCCTTGATGGCCAAAGGGGAAGTAACTATACATCCTGTATACCATTTGCTTTACAGAATTACCTGCCCAAAGGGACATTACTCTTGATTTTGTTTCACTCGATTCGCCCCCTTTGATCAAACAGACACGCAATGTGTGAAGTTTTAAGTTTAACATTGCACGGAGTCAAGACCATGAGGCTAACTTTGCTAAACACACGATTACTTCCCTTTGAAACAAGGGCTCATAGTCATCACGACTGAAGATAACTTTCCAAAACGTTGGTTCCAGAATTTCAGCTTGTGAGCGCGATATTAAAGTAAATATATTTTGAGACTTCAGCACAGTGCGTAAATGAAAGCCCTGTGCTTGAAAGTTAGCAAGTCTGCTTGTTATTTTAGGGAAGGGAGATAAGTTCCAGGAAGACACCGAAAATGGGAATGCAGCTGGTTGTCAGTTAAATCAGGGATAATCTACAACGTCTTATAGTCTCCCTGGTTAAATCTAAAAACATCTATGCAGCAATATATATATTCTCCTTGTTTCAACTTTTTGGTACCACTTGCTTGTTAACGGTATTAGTACCTACGCCGAAACGTCGCACTCATTGCAATAAAGAATTTGACTGTCCATAGAACCTGGTTTTCCGTCATCTGAACAACTTCTAAAATGCCTCTCAAAGAACTTTAAAAATCTTATTTAGGGGATTTATTTATTATTTCGTAACTCGTTTACTTTAGTCTCGTTTCGCGAGATCACGTTATTTCTTGTCAAACATGTTTAACATACAGTTCACCCACTGACCAAAACATAAGGGATCTGTATTACCTTATAAGTGTTTGATAACATACTATGGATGGATGCGTCAGGAGCATGGCTATCAGATGATGGTTCACGAACAAGTTGCCGTGTTTAGGTTGTCTATAGACTTTGAGACGAAATTACAGTTCCTTTCTTTAGACCGAAAACGTGCTTAGATAAAACAAGCACATGTGCATTCCGTTGGGGTTCAAACGTGCTTCTTGTTTGTTTGAACAATCTATTAAAACACAGTTGGGTTTTTTTACAGTGTAACCCGTCCTATATGAGGTGCCATGGCTTGAGATGTTACATATATGTAATATGTTGAACTTCGGCCGAACATGAGATTGTGATCCTTCCTTAACCCCTGGCGGTGGGGTAGCCTAATGTAAAATGCGTTCGCTCGTACCGCCGAAGACCTGGGTTCGATTCCCCACACGGGTACAATGTGTGAAGCCCATTTCTGGTGTCCCCCGGCGTGAAAGCTAAAAACAGCGTAAAACTGAACCCACTTCTTTAACCCGAGTCTTCAAATCGCGCCATTCCAGGACGCGTTAAATGGAGCCTACTTGTTTGCTACAGAGAAAAACGAGTGGTGACGAAATGTTTCTGTTACCATGGTTCGAATATTCCGTTGAGCAAATCCTAACACTTTTATATTGGTTTTGTGATGAGTAAATAATGGTAATTTTCAATTAAAAGTGAGCGAGTGAGTTTTACGCCGCACTCAGCAATATTCCAGCTATATGGCGGCGGTCTGTAAATAATCGAGTCTGGACCAGACAATCCAGTGATCAACATCATTCGCATCGATCTACGCAACTGGGATAAGATGACATGTGTCAACCAAGTTAGTCCAGACCACCCGATCCCGTTAGTCGCCTCATACGACAAGCATGGGTTACTGAAGATTAATTCTAACCCGGATCTTCACGAGTCTTTCAATTTAAATAGAATATCAAAGAAAATTGTATGTATACTGAAAATATATTCGTTTGAAGGATTGACGTTGAATGTATTGGTACCACTGCACAATGTTTGACATTTTTATATATTTATGAAAATTCTTGACACGCGTAAACAGTCGAACGAAGCCAAAACCAGTGGTTGATAGCGTTAGCATCAGTCCACTGTCAGCCAGGTCACCACTTTCACGTGACCATGTGACCTTAAGAGAGGAGTGTATAGAACAGTACAATACATTAACAATAATGCAAAGAGCGATATTCGTGAGTAATCACGTGATGTTATCTAATAAAACACCCAGATTAGTCTCTGAGAGGAGACGTAGTGCATACTCCAACTTGTCAGACAGGTTACGTTTACACAAATATAATCAGTTATTTTGAGTGTTTTTGGATTAGTAGCGGATAGATTGATAATGTAACCATGGTTACTGAGATTAACACCGTTTTATCATTAAGCACTTGCTGACCATATCTCTGTTTTCCTAGAGCCAGCAGGTGTAGCCATATGTAACGGGGCATCCTTGGTAAGGGCCTCAGAATCCTAAACCTTGGCCCTGGTCATGGAAAATTCACATTTTGTGGGTGCTTTGTGTTTCACGCATTGAAAAGTGTTTAAGTATATTGAGGCAGTTATTCTTCGTATCAGAGGTCACTATGCAAATGGTAGATTTTTACCACTTCGCGGAAAACTACGATCGTGATTTATAATCGGAATCGAACCAACGACTAGGGGATTGTGGCATAGCCAAGGGACGTTATTAATTGTAGTGTAGTCTCTCACTCTGTCTCCCTCTTTCTGTCTCTCTGTGGCTCCCTGTCTCTCCATGTATCTATTTGTCTCTCTCTCCGTCTCCTTGTGTGTCTCTCTTCCTCTATCTCTCTCTCTCATGGTTACGCTTGATCTAGTGTCCACAACGTCTATTAAACAGTTGTGTCAAATATTCACACCTTTTAATCGTCTGGGTACATTTGAACTTGACCAAATAACGTAACAGTGACGGCCAACAGAGAGCTTTGAATCCTCACGATTACATGCGGCTTGATCACCATATTATGAATATAAATCGTCAGAAGACACAATTAGGAATAATACCGGAGACGGATAGGGAATAATGACACCTTTAATTTGTTTTACACCTCAGCAGACGACAATTGTCTCCCGCTTCGCGCTTCATCGATTGAGCAGACGACATGTATCTACCCAATTACAGGGTGTTGGATACTGTGTTTGTCTCATTAGGATACCACTAACAGGCAGGAGGCGTAAGGTTTAGAGATTGTCCACAGATACTGCGTCTCTGTGTAAGACATGTCAAGCGCTGACAATGACAGCTCGCTGGAACACCAGTTGTCCTGGTTATATGTCTGAGGACAACCGTCCTGGCAAGTATCAGTTTGTATATTAACTTCGACCAGTAACCACACTGGCAGAACTTCTCTTATGAACTTTGGAAAGGGACTCCAATACAAGTGTTATTCTGTTTCGACGCTCCTGAATACTTCGTCTTTGTCGCTGCTATGCTGCTTGATCTCATCATAAGAACGATGTTCATAACTACAAGATTTTCAAGTTTGGAAGCATACCACGATATAGGATCTTCTGGTATCTGTGAATTATTATTTTCAACTGTGACCATCGTGACAGACATCCCAAGTGATTGCAACCCAAATGTACGACTTATCATAGGAAGGATCTGTTGATGATTTGGAGTGAAATGACGATACCGTAACATTACCATAGATCGGATGGAGGCTGTGAACTGAATCTGTGAATTAAATACTTTCAACTGTGACCATCGTGACAGACACCCGAAGTGTTTGCTACCCAAATGTGTGATTTCATTTTGTACGACTTATAAGAAGGGTGTGTTGATGATTTCGAGTGAAATGACGATACCGTAACATTACCATAGATCGAATGGAGGCAGTGAACTGAAATCAGTGTTTCATCGTTTGTCTCTGCCGTTACTTATAGCAATACAGAAACTAATAAAACAGCATCTACAATGATAGGCCTATTGACATTTGCGCTGATGGACGTCCCGTGTACAGCTGAGTATTTTGCCTGTTCACACGCATGGTCGAACCTTCGCAAAAACTTCTGTTGTTCATTTTGGATTTCCATGATTCGGGTTAAATCCAGAGTAACAAATATCAAGGGTTACAGTCGGAAGTTTTTCTTTGGAGTGTCGATGATATATGATCACTCTCACCGATGCATATTATACTACTGTTTGATAAATATCCATAGTTTACTTGAAGGTGTCAACTAATCACAAAGGCCCAAGAAGGACGGTGGGGTAGCCTAGTGATTAAAGCATCCGCTTGTCACGCTGAAGACCCGGGTTCGATTCCCCATATGGGTAAAATGTGTGAAGCCCATTTCTGGTGTCCCCCGCCGTGATATTGCTGGAATATTGCTAAAGGCGGCGTAAATTAAACTCACTTACTCACAAAGGTCCATGAAGGTGTCCCATGCAACCATATTGTGTTTTGTTTTAGTTACTGTGAGACACCCATCCTTTGTATTTTTATCAGATATAAGATTAGATCTGTCACAGTTTGAACGACTTATCACAACAGAGCTATCCGCTGAAGTGTTTGAACGGCAATATCTGCCTCACCAGTTGAATCACTATCTGTGAGCACAGCTTGAATGACACGCCAAGGACCATCGGGGAAGTCTGTTTACGACCTGGAGCATACCAGTAAATTACTGCATGTGTGACAGAAGCAATCATTACGGAGATGTACAGATAGTGTTGGGTGAATGAGCGGTCATCACAGTATTACATAAAGGAATCACCTCAATGTTCAGTTTGTCATGCTTGAAACTGATTTTGATGGTGTCCGGTCCTTATCACGACGCTTAGGCCAGAGACCTGTGTTGAGGGGAACAGGAAGGTTGTGCATCTTCATGGACACCACAAGCACGTGTTTCCCGTGACAATCTGATTCTTCAACAACGGGTTTGAATGACAATGGTTGGGGTGGTGTTCCCATGTTAGGATATACCTGTGATGAATTGTTGAGTGGTGCTGAAAAAAGTCCAAGACATTCTCGGATTTCGGTTGGTTGTGTTCAAATCAACATTCTCGAAGAAGAACGTCATCGCACAACAGTCGTCAGAAACGATGAAACGTTATTCTAGGGCACTGACGACTAAGAGAAGTGTTGTGTTTACTGAAAATACTTCAAAATAAGGGTAGTATACTTTATAGCAGTGCAAAAGGACAGTATGAAAACTATTCACTCGAGAAATTCAAATTGTTTCTTTGTGTGACAGACGTATTCCTTTTGCATGACTATTCGGTACCCGGTGGTATCTAAACAAACGTCACAGAACAGCCTTAAAAGGCACGCAACGAATACAAGACAAACTGCTGTACATGCAAGTCCAGGATATACGTCCGTTGTCTGGTGTTACAGCGTTGTTTGTCAACGATATTATTAGTGGGATATTACAGTATAGCACGATCCAACTGGTGTTATCTCTACTGACAATCAGCCATGTTACGCCATCATCAAGGATTGATGAATACATGTACCCCTTTGTACCCTGTCAATGAAGCACATGTATGGTGACAGCTATACCTGCGATTTGTTTTTCCGGGTAAACGCCAAGAGGTATAGCTTCCTGCTAGGCACCAACAATAAGATACAGTTACAATAACATAGAAAACTGTGGTCATCCGCATGATTTATAGTATTGTTCCTTACAGAGTACGATCCTGTGACAGCTCCATATGAACTTAAACCTTTTACTGGTAGATTTGCCTCTATCACGGAAGTCGGACATCAAAGTGCATATCGATAGTTCCGTGTTTCCCAATGTAATACATGCACTCTGGTCGTCGGGAGAGGTTGATATCGTGTTATATCACACGGCTGAGACAGCCAATGGAGGCTTCTGTAGACGTTCGAGGAAGTTATTGTAATTGGAAGCGGAAATCATATAATCAAACAGCGCTATTACTTTTATTGTCCTTTGATAGCTGCGTGGTATGATTGTTCGTTTAACAGCAGTTGTACTTGAACAGGTGCTTTCTCTTATTATCGATCCCCACCAATCGGCAATACGAAGTCTTGGTTTGCTAAGGGATTGGAGGATTTCGAGTGGGCCCTTTTCACGTTAACATGATGGAGACATTTACTCCAGGAACAATGCAGATGTCATTGACAAGCAGATGGTCTGTTGTGTAGTAATAATCTCTGATAAGGTCAACGTACAAATATTGTACTCCACTTATTGATGGTATGGCTGTAATCCGGGACATTAGATAAGAAATATTGACTATAATGACTATGAGTTATTCACGCCATCTTCGGAGACCAAGAGACCAGAGGGTACACTGTTCGTCCTCTGGTGGCAGATCGTCATCAAAGTCTAAGGCTGTGACATTTGAAAATGATATTGGACGTGACCTTGAAACATGGCGCCTACTGTGGCAGAAACTTCTTCAGCAAAGGTGAGTGAGTGAGTGGGTGGATTTTACTTAGATTCCCTACATCGAGTTAATATTCACACTTGATGGATCTAAAAACGTAATAAGAATAATAAATTTTGATATATAACAAACATGGATAGAAATAACAATGTTACTTCTTTTTGACACAGCTTCTGGCCATCGCTATTACATAATGACGTTAGCATGATTTCTAAAAAGAAAAGAGAAAAAAGTGACAAAACGAAAACATAATGGAGAAAACTACGTTTACATCATACCAAACGCTTGTAACTAATCGATGGATATTACGAATCGGTTTTGGTCCCGGTCTCTTGCTGTATGTATAAGTCGAAGTGTATATAACGATCTACGGTTATAACGAACTTAGATTATTGATCCTTGTTGGTTTGCTACAATCGTTGTTTTTTTACTTAAATATTTTAGCATGGCAGCTGTCGATAGGACCATATTTGTGCTTGATTAAAAATCTTAATCATTTTGACTAACCCCGAGACTAACACTTAGTCTCTGAATGTCTATAATTTTGATTGTATCAAATAAACCCATTTAAATTGAAAAGAAGCCCCAGGGAGACCAGAGATTCAGAATCTGACGAAATCTAGACTTTAGCATTGCAGGGAGGGTTAGACTGTAGGGGAAATAATGAGGTTCAGGGACTGTCAGACATACTATAGTCTATAACTTACCCCGTATAACTATCAATATTAGTAAAGAATGAATTAAAAAGCGTGTGTCCTATATTCCTACTTACGGGCCCTTCAATCACTACTATAAGTTAGCTCATGCTTTCTCTGTATTTCCTCATCGCATATTACAGTGTATCTGAGAAGCTTACACAAAAAGCATGTGTTCTCATTGGCTGGCTTCGGGCGCTGCACGGTCACTGCGATTACGTCACCAAAGCTATACTCTTTACATCCGGGCAATGAAGTAACCTAAACACCTGGCTGCTGTTGTACAAAACAACCTTCACTGAGGTTGAACTGAGTGACTACAGTTACCCTCAAGATACCCTTAACAAAATGATACGTACGTTGCATAAAGCTATCTTTGGTCAACCTTAACGTTGGAAGGATACTTAGCAGCAACCTTAAAACACACACACACGCACACACACACACCACCCCTGGATCCACCTATGCGTATCTTAATGTGGACGACACGTGCTTCAGTTTGGCATTTAACGTAAATGAAACAGAATATTTCATAACACACGAATATATTTTTTTAGGATAAGACTTTTCTTTGGTTATGATTATGTGTCCATTTCTCTTCATAAGTATGTGTGAAGCCCATTTCTGGTGTCCCCCGCCGTGATGTTGCTGGAATATTGCTAAAAGCGGCGTAAACCAAACTCAGTCAGTCAGTCATAAGTATATAAGGGGCGGTGGGGTAGCCTAGTGGTTAAAGCGTTGGCTCGTCACGCCGATGACCCGGGTTCGTCCCACATGGGTACAATGTGTGAAGCCCATTTCTGGTGTCCCCCGCTGTGATGTTGCTGGAATATTGCTAAAAGCGGCGAAAAAACAAACTCAGTCAGTCAGTCAGTCATAAGTATACAAGTCTACAAGAAGCTAGCTCTTTTTGTATGGAACTGTCAAAATAATGATGTAAGGTTTGTCCAAAGGAAGACATGGTGTGGTTTATAATATTTTTATAACCCTTGTAGAAATATAGTTCAACACTGTACATTTTTATATCCTGTCACCACAATATGCGTCTCCAATATAAACTGATTTTTAATTATCAAAAACAATGCGAATGAATCGTAAAACGTTTGTAACAAAGGCGCAACTGGCCAATCATCATTGCTTTGTCCATAAAACGACATAAACAAATTCAAAGAACAAGACAATTCCTTTAAAAATGTGTGCATATCCATTTCATAAAATATATCAGTCATTTTCATTGATATTGTCAGTTTTACTTATAAGGTTAAATTCAATCACTGTTTTATCAACCTATTCATATGAAATCATATTATCGACTATTGTACATTGTAAGAACTAAATCACAAATTGCAATTATACGTTTCATCTTCTAACACTTGTGTAAAGCTTAACAATATCGTCTACTTTGCTAAACATGTCAATTTACTGTGTAAATATTATTCAAACAAAACAAACAAAAACTTTGAAAGAATAAAAAAGCGTATTGTCTATATCCTTGTATGATCACAATAGATGACTGATTTCTAAGAAATTACACCGCATTTCTTTACATAGTTGTCAAACAAGGCTGAACTCCACATACTAAAGCACTCTACTCTGTCGGGAAATAGGTTCACAACCAGATTTACCACTGAGCCTGTCTCATAATGATCAGAACATAGTGCTAACTGCTTTATACATATGAGATGAATTAGACTGACCTCACAGTAGCCTCTCATTATACAAATTTGTATCGTTTTGTATGCTGGCTTCGCGTATTTTGGCACGAACTAACATGAAATTGGGCTTAACGTCGCCAATAAGATTGGACTCGTGACTTCAGTGAACATACATGTGTGTCTTGAGCTGCTTGTAGTCCGACAAATACCGGTTTTATTCTGCCCTCCCACTGAGATACCATGCCGCAGTTTAACATGGAAACCCGACTCAGACACAGCATACTGACTCTAAGCCCACCATTCCTTGTTTTATTCTCTTAATACTAAACGCAAGTACTTTCTTTTGACGACATTTGATATGATATGCGACCGGGGAATAATGAGTGAGTATGGTTTTACGCTGCTTTTAGAAATATTCCAGCAATATCACGACGGGAGACTCCAGAAATGGGCTTCACACATTTCACCCATGTGGCGACTCGAGCCCGGCGTGACGAGCGAACGCTTTAACCACTTGGCTACCCCACCGCCCCCGACCAGGGAACCAAGCTACATATAATCCACTCTCCTGGCACATGCTCTGTCAACTTGACCACGAAGGTTGTCAGTACATGAATTACGATGCTATAGTCTAGTGTTGGGAATTGGTTGAAATCTCATGATTGATGATTGGTTCATTACTAACGAGCAATCATCGAAAAAAATGGTTAGCGTCATCTTTCACACTTTCCTGTTCAGGCTAGCTATTCTCGAAACGTTCGTCCGGGAGCCCTACGAACTTCTTTAGCCCATTCTTAGCACACTCAAAGTTAAGAATTCTTAGGGCTACGAACGTTTCGAGAATAAGGACCCAGGTTGTTATTGCAGATAAGTATAAAGAAAAAAAAACATGTTGTTATCTGTTGTTGTTTTTGTTATATTTAGAAACTGCATAAGTTGCATTTGCAAATTTCTCATCCAGTGTACAATTATGCAACTTGCTACATAAAGTGATGACGACTATTAGGACTGCACGGTATTACCGGAATACCGGTATATCACAATACGCTTTTTAAACGATACCTATTGCAATAATTATTCTGAGAACCGGTATATTGGGAAAAGAACATAAATGAAGTTTTTTGTGATTATCTTTATGGTTTAAGTTAAAATCTACACACTTTCATTCACAACAGCTGTTTTCCTTCGTTATTCAATTACAATACGGCATACTGTAATGCAATAAATTGTATAAAACAAGAAAATAGAATCCATGACTGTTCAACCTAGCTAATTTTCAGATTGCTGTTATCAGAACCATAATATGTATGTTTAGGATATAATGTTGAAAATAGGATCGACATGTGCAGTTAGTGTCACTTACTGTCAAACACTAGAGTTCCCAATATATCGCAATACGGGTACCTGAATTTGCCAATACACATCCCTAACTTCTATATCATAAACATAAACTTACCAGAGTCTTCAAGAAATATTCAGTCAAGTGTCTAAAAACCAAAAACAGTAGTTTCAAAATTGTTTGTGTTGAAAATGTGATCGACTGCTTGGTGGTTTGGTCATTGCGACCATTCTTCGATTATTTCAGTCAAGCGGAACACCACTAACTGATACTCTCATGTTGGCATGAAAAATATCAGTGGAAACGTCTTGTAAATATCACCTTTCTGGTGCGGACACAGTCAGGCTCGGTGACTCCATAGATTATATGTCATCGCGTTGAGTGTTGCTCATGATATCAACCCAGGGTTTGTCTGGTCCAGGTTCGATCCCACAAAGTAAATCTTAATCATTTCTGACTGTAGCGTATAGCAATACACAACCACAGCATATAACCGGTACTTCAGTGAATCGGTACAGTCCTTCAGCACCTTGGTTCGCTAGATATTGGAAAAAAATATCCTATCAAGTTCCCGTTCGAACACACAGCACAAGAGTACCCGTACAAAACCCTATCTGATTAAACTACACAATAAAACCATATAGTAAACATAATATAAAGCCAACCTTTATTACACCCGGTGAATAAATAACAATAAATATCAAATGTAATGTTAATAAGAATATCATACGCTGTGAGCACGAATCAGAACTGGGTATTAAGACTGATGAACCACAAAGAACACAGCTGTATACAGCCCCGTGTGTATGTTAGTGGTATGTGGGGTTTGAAACTAGCCTACACAATGGTATCTTCCGCCTTTAAAGTGACCCCCCGAGATCGTGTCCGCTTAAATCCGGGTAGTTATACACAAGGTCAAGTGTTGACGAAAAACATCGGGGACAATCTCAAAAAGATTTTTGGGTACAAACGTGTGCGATCAATCGTGCGATTCTTAACTAAAAGTTCGCTGCGTGATGGAATCTTTGGTGTGTCAGGTTTTATAACTTTTCAAGAAGCGTTAACTGAGATAAATAAAAGATAAAATCCTGTGATCTAAAATCATTAATATCTGTTCTTGGTATAAATCTGTTAACCACTATCAGGGCCCTGTATCGAGGAGAGACTAGTCCATATTATATAAATAAAGAGAACGAGTGAAAACTGTGCTTATAGTCTGCAAATACATTTTAGAATTAGTTTAAAAGAATGGAAATTGATACAAAAAAGGACATTAAATCCCCTGGCTTTTGGAATATATCAACACCATTCTACACGTACAGAAATGAAATA